TCGTCGATGCCGACGCGATGTAACGTAATACCTGTTAGCCGTTACTCATAAAGATATTTTGCATAAAAAAAAAGATTTGACATTACAGCGAAAAAAATCGAGAAAATCAAATATGAGTCACGATCGCGGCAAAATTTAGAAATATTATTTATTAATTATATATTCATATAATTGTTGAATCTTTTGCGTTTTATTATTTTTTTCTTCAAAGAAATTGATCCATTAGTTGCAACGTGTTGCTAAGGATTATTGAGTGAATTTTTCTCAGCTAATTTAGTTTTGTTAGTAAATATAATTAAAATAATTAATCACATACTGTGGAACAAATTTTTAAATGAAAAAACACCAGCTTATAGAACACTTACATATATCTAATCGTAAGATGTATAAACCATGATTAAATATCTACATCTTCGCTCATAGGGCATGCAGAAGAAAAATGAAAATACTTTTATTATATATAATTCACAAACTAAAGCTATATGGATTGAGCCTATTCAGAATTTGATTGATTCAACCAATTCAATCGTTATTGAGATAATCCGATGGTCTCGGATGCCGCAACTCTTGCGTATGAATATACTCCTCGATCAGTTCGTCACGTATAAACTGTGTGATGCTGAGAAGACGCTATATAGTGTGTCTTAATTCTGTAATTATTTTCTTCTGTAAAACAAATCATTGTTATCTAGATGATACTCTTGTGTGCATCATCGTACGCCGAAGATGAGTCCAAAAATACCAAACCGGTTGTTAACGACAATGAGTCGACACGAACGGAAGAGCCTCCAGAGGGATATTATGCGTTCGTCGAATCACCGAATGCGGAACCACCGAGAGTTCGGCCACCGCCCTACATTGACAGCGACAAAGAATGTTACGGTAGGTCCGGAATAAGCAAAGCGAAACCTATAATAGGTACAATATTCTTACTTATAATTACATTTAACGCTGTTTACAAGAATTGCCCCGTAATTATCGGTTCCTATAATAGTTAAAAATTCGCATTTTTAATAATTAAAGAAATTAAAGAGTATAATTAAAGAATTAATAATTAATAATTAAAGAATATAATTAAAGAAATTGTTAAAGTTATTGCATAATAATAATACATAATTTATTTCAAACTAGGTATCTTGACCTTCGATACTAATGATGTTTTATACAACTTGTCATTTATGTTATACTTTTTATAGGTAGCGATAAACATGGAAAAGGATACGTTTCCATACATAATATATGCGGAGATTTGAATAAAGGCTATATTCCGCGAAATCCAATGAATCAATACGTAAACGGCTCGTCATATCCTTTGTAAGTGAGAGATAATAAATTAAATAAAGTCATTGTATTCAGATCGCGGTATTAACCAATTTTTATTAAATTAGCAACGTTTGTAAATTTTTTCCACAGCGCACTGATAAAGAATCATACTCTCAAGTTCCTCAGTAAGGCGTTACCAATTCTCAAAGCTGACGATTCGCTGCCAAAGGTCGCCAAAGTGCATTCATTGTCACAAAATTCGTAAGTATAGTGTTCTCACAACTTGCAGTCTCAACCTGCCAAATTGTTCTTTTATAAATTAATTATATATTGAATATTTTATACAACTCATCTTTTCATATATGTACGTTCTATACGTAATTTTTTCCCATTCGTTTTTCAAATATTATACATGATATATAGTTGCTTTTTAATAAATGAAAACTGCAATAGTATAATGTAATTTTTAATTTTTATTGAATAATAGATACTAATTTGATATATCGAGCCAACTAATATACAACTCTTTCTCCGTAGCGTTGATACAGACGAAGAAGAAAAACATGATAGAAGCAAAAGATCCAGTCCATTCGATTCGACTTTAGTCCCGGATTCCAGTCGACACGGTCGCAAATTTTGCGATAACGGTAGTGGAGTGTAAGTACATTTCATTGTCTCAATTACATCTCAATAAGTTTCAAGTTCTACTTAGATCGGCAATATATTAGCAATCAGGTAGCCGCATATAATGAACTACTTGTTTAAAAAGTTGATGTCAATATTCCGAAAGTATCGAGCTATCGATAGCTGTAAAATAATATAAATCTTTGAAAATAAAGATGATTTCCTTTTAAAAAGAGAGAAGAGGAGGGAAGAAGATCCTTAAATAAGGATCGGGACGATTATCGTTTCCTGTAGAGTTTAGAGTTTACTTATAGATATGTTAACGCAATCTTAGTAATGTAGTTTCTTTTTGGCAAATAGGATGTGCATGTTATTTAAAGCGATCCAAGGCGAGTCGATCACGCCATCGGCATCAGCCATCGAACGCCGGGATGAACCTTCGACGTCCGATTATCGACGAGGAGAACGCGTACCATCGCAGGAGAAAACGGAATATACGGGTCCGCCTACACCATGTCCAGCCAAAGTCGAATATGCGACTCCGGTCTTCGCTAAAAATTATCAAGGTGTTTGGAGATACGTGGTGCAGATACCTTACGAAGGTTACTTTACGCAGACAATCGAACTCACCAGATGCATGTAGGATACCGATTATACTAATTTGCAGTCTAGTTAGCCATCTAAAGTCCAGGAGTAATATGTATCTTCGTCATCATTGTAGGCAATCGAGATGCCATTACTTGGATGGTGGGTGTTTATCGTCGCCAAGATGGACGAGTTTATTGGTCGCTGAAATATTTTACCCGGACACGTTCTTAGAGGAGAATCAAGGGGGTGTCGGTATAGCCTCTGCTACTCGAGATCCTGTCGCTGGATCACCACCACCGGTTCACGATTTTCAAAATTATCAGCAATATTTGCAGAAACGCGCGAGCACGGGAGAAGCACGCAACAATGGTGGTTCTCAGCAACATCATTGCGATGGTGTCGATGAAATGGGTTGCTTTCAAGTAAGAGCTACATCTTCGCTTTTCTTACGTTCACTTACTTACTGAACTTCCAACACGATCAAATATCAGTAATTGAGGTTTATTTTTTGCAAAAAGTATAACTTATTCTAAAATTCGTTTTTATCTATATAGTTTTTAAAAATTCTTTTCGCAATATATCGATTGATACTGTTTAATGTTATAAATTAGCGAATAATTCTTTAATAAAGAATATATTAACTTTTTTATATCTTCATTCCTATTTAGGTACGACTATATTACGATTGGTTCTTGGTACCGGGAAGCTGTAAATGTTGGCGACCGGATTACTTCAATCGATATGTCCGTCGTAGCGGTTCAAATGTTGAATTATGATGAACTTTATATAGGGATGTATTGTATATTTTACATTCTGAGAAGATATCACGTTGCTTTACTTCAGCGATTATATTTCAATCGTTGCTCCGTGCACGTATGAAGTTGGAGCGACTTACCTAAGTCAATCCAAATATCGCGCATAGTCATTGGCACGTCTATTTAATACGAAATCATTTTCGCTCATACGTTAAAGACGTTGACAATTATTTGATACTAATTTTTTTATCACAATTAAATGTGATAGTTTATAGCATTACAATAGTAAATTATAAGTGATCAAATATATTTGATTATATCTTTGATCTTCAATGTAGCCGGCTTAAGTTTAATCATGCGAAAAACTATCAATTTTATACGTTATACATTAATTAATAATATAAGTAAAAAAGACAGTTGAAGAAGCAAAGAAATAGATGACAATAAATACAAAAAAAAATTTTCGTATACTAAAATAATAATGTAAAATAATATTGTAATACTAAAAAAATAATTTCAGATACAGAAATTTGAACATTTATATCTTTTTACGCTGCCATTTAAATTGACACAAAATTATCATCTGTAAAACGAAAATGCGATTTTTAGCCATAAAAATAAAACAATGTTGAATGATATTTTATACATTATACTATTCTTGATAGTATCGTAAATAGACTACAGAATACGTGTCATCAAAAATTGTTATGCGTTGCAGTGATAATTATTATAGTATACTTAAAGTTATAATAATAATTATTATAAATTAGTATTATTATAATTATCAATGATTATTATAATTATAATAATTATCAACAAGTTACTATTTATATGTGTGGCATTATAATAATTATTATTATATTAAACTATTACTTTTATATATATTGTATAAATTATAACTGTAGTTATATCTGAACTATTGTTTAAATAAAGAAAAATAATAATTTTTTCTTCTTTAAATTATTTTCTTGTTATAACAATAAAAAAATGATTTAGTTAAAAATAATAAAAATTCATAGATATATTCATACATATAATCATAACAAAGAAATATATCATGAGAAAACGATAATGTTATACATATATATCAATTATATAAACTTGCTGTTTTTCATCAATATAATAAAAAATTAATACAATTGTAGCATTAACTAATATTATTTTATGTATTTTTTTTCTAATTTGATAACATAAATTTTGAATCTTAATATCTGATAAAATAATATTAGACTTACTTCTAATAAATGTTATAATATTTTAAAGAAATACAAACAAAGAAGTATAAAATTTAATAAATAATGACTTTTATTTTCATTAATTATGTGAATTCACATATGTATGCATAGTTGAACTATTTTAAAAAGATAAATGTTTCGTATCTTTTTCGTTTATTCTTTTTCACTTAATGTTTTAAAAGTTAATACTAAATCAATTTATGGCACATAATTGCATCTGGAAACGTAAAGTACGTATATAAATGCTTGTTCTATTTTGTAGAAGCATTTCAGTGACACGCGTGATATAATTTGTTATTTTTCAAATACTATTTATGTATCTCAGTTTCAATGACTAGATTAAGTTAATCCTTAATAAAACTTTGCTTTACTAAATAATAAATACGATATGTAATGAGTAATAATAAAAAGCAAAATAAAAAGCGAATAATTCGTATCTAAAAAAAAAACGTGTACGAGAAAATTGAGAATAAATAATATATAATGTACTTTAAAGGAAAAAAATTTTTATAAAATCTCAATAATTTACTCTGTGTGTGTAGATTTGTGAAAAGAGTAATCATAGAAATATTATTATGTTTCACACGAATACTTAAGAGTTAGGCTTGTCTTTGGATTCGATTCAATATATTATCTACAAGAGTTTAGCAAGTAACATTATATCGATTCGCTCAGCTTTATAAAATAAAAGTTTGCATAAAAACGTGCGCATACTGTTGTTCATTATCATTCTCAAGATATTTTCTATCTATGTATTTCCAAAGATTTTCGCCGAATTTTATGTGACATCATTCACAGCATTTATGACATCGTATATACAATGTCGTTAATATACAGTTCTGGTGTAAGCTTTACTTATTATTCCTTAACAAAGTATGATATTATAAAATAAATGCACACGTTATTCACATATAATTGTAAAGTTTTAAAATCCTAAAAAGCACCATTATGTACACGATGTAAAATGACAACTGTTTCACTATAGTATTTACAAAAAAAAAAAACAATTGCACAAACGTAAACGTCGTATGTATATTAGCTAAATACATCTATAAACGTTTTTAATGTCACAGTTTTCTTATTTGAAAAAGTATGCATTAATTTAAAGAAATGCCTTGTATCCACGAACTGAGATCGCTGGTATCCTCGCAACTAAGACTCAAGGCATGCTTCTCACTCTGTTTGGTACCCAAGAGTAATTCAGCCGCTGTTCGACCAGTCAAATATGCCCCATGTACCGTGCTATAGAATGAAGAATGGGTATGTTCGCCCGCAAATGCCACCAGAATTTTTACTGTTTCGTCTGCGTTATCTTCCGTTTTCTTCTGAACCAACGGCTCAGCCAAACTTCTGATGTCAAGTTGACTCGCTCCTACAGCCATCGCAGTGTATGAACCTCGCGTATATGGTTGAGATTGCCACGTGGTGCGCAAACAGTTCTTCGGAATCGGTACGAAAGGATCATTGAGAAATCGCCGCAGGATTGTCGTGCACACTTCTGACACTTCTGTAGTACTCAGCTTTTCCATGTATTCTGCCGCGCAACCGGATATCCAACCGAGTAGCAACGTATCCGAAATCTTAATAAACGAATATATCTTCCTAAACCAGGTCTTACTAATGTCCCGCTTTTCTGCTTCGGATAATCGATCGTCATCCCAAAGGAGCATCACTTCCGATACACCAGGATTTAAAAAAGGCCGTTCGTATTCAAGAAATATCTTATTCACTGTACCGAACATTAGTCTGTTTATTGCTTCCAGTTTGTATGTGGGCAACGACGGTTCAAACAAATCCTTAGCTGTCCTTTTTAAAACGCCTAACGGTAATGTACATACTACGTGCTCCGCAATGATCGTCTTTCCATTTTCACATTGTACTTCTATAAGGCTATTTGATTTAAAATCAGATTTTTCTGTAGGATCGACATCGTCTTGACAACATTGTTGTTTCTGCCACCTAAAATAAAAATGAATAACAAGTTCATATTACAGTCTTTGTTACATGTTCATTCAATTATTCAAATGGATGTATTTTCACGTATTTCTTAAATTATTGTAAGCTCACCTAATCTTTGTTACAACATGCTTCATAAGTATACGCTCCTTTGGTATGTGTTTCGAAACTGGTTCCAATATAGCGCTATATCCGTTCGGAAGACTAATATTACCACCTTGAAGCTCATCGTAGGAGCCCATTTCTAGGAGATCTACATCGTCCATACTGTCGCAACCTGTGACGCAAGTTTCTCTCTTGAGTAAACAGTCAAAGATTAATTGTCTTATTCTTCGTTGTTCAGGTGGTACAGAAGACAGATATATCTCTGCTTCCAGCGCAATATGTGCCCCAACGCTGGTTATACCATCCGGCGGACTGTACATGCTCAGAAAGTATTCTTCGCATCGCCTCAAAAAACATACGTAAGCCTCGTAGATCTCTCGCAATACAGGAAACGGCAATTGTTTTCCATCCTCCAATGCTGCCACCACCTTATGAGGTTTCGGCACATGTACAATGTCTATTAAACCATTTGCCATCGCCAACTCAAACATGGGATTACCTAACACTCCGTGAATCCAGTTTGCTCCTAACTCAACTTTTTCATTTCCTAGATGAGATAGAAGAAAAAACTTCTCTTTGAAGATGTTCCATTTATTTTTTAAATAAAAAAAAAGCAATAACACCTCATATGTGTTTCTATAGAGAAAAAGTATCGATATTATGACTTGTCATTTCAGATTTTTCTAAATAAAATCATCTTATATTATAAAAATAATAAAATACACAACTGATGAAAAATTTTTTCACAAAAGGCTGACAAAAGACTTCTTTCGAGTTTGCTAAATATACAAAAATAATATTTCTCTGCTTACATATAAAATTATATATCTCTTCTGTAATCAATGTCATATAAAATTCACATAAATATATTTAATTATTTTGCAAAATCGATGTATATATTTCTTTAAAGTACCTGATTCTACTTCGTCTTCTACCGTCACATTAATCGACAAGAATTTTTATACATACACATTCAAAAATTCTAAAGATAAATGATGATTTTAAACCTCCTAGTACATTATTGCTATAATTGTGTATCACAAAGTAAATAAATTTAGAAGATGTCAAGATGAGGAGAGGTTAGACTGATCGTACCGACTTGCGCCGCGATGATTCGTCCACCAATACGTCCGCGCGCCTCGACGATGAGAAAATCCGTCTCGTTATTCTTCAATAAATGTGTTGCCGCGGACAATCCAGCCATACCAGCACCGATAATTAAGATCTTGCATGACAGGCTGTCATCGTCCGAATTATTCGCAGGTTCCGCCATGTTTACATATGAACGATATCGGCCATATCCACTGTCACAGCTGTAACATACACATGCCACGCACACATGTTATGTATATAGGGACATCACACTTTCAAAATATAACATCTGTAAAAACCCTAGCTTTATACAATTGCATAATTTTAGTTCTGGAATACCGTATCGTCAGTATCGTGTCTTTCGGCAGTTTGTCGGTGTAATTTTATCGATAATGTTTTTTAGCAATTTAACGAATAATCTACGTTATTATATAAATTAAGTTACATCGTGATATAGAGAAATGTCTAATTCACTCGTGCATAAAAGTTTAGAATTATTGGGTTATGAAGAAGATTCACAGAGAGGTTAGTTTATTGAAACCCGCATGGGTACGTATGTATATTTATCAAACGATGCGCGTACAAGTATTTATTTCAGATAAAATAAACTTTCAGAACAAAGAAAGAAGAAGAAACGTAAGGATATCAGATATAAAGGAGCCTTAGATTTAATTCCCACTAAACATAGGATAATCTCTAAAAACGACAAGACAGGTTATAATTATCATCATTTAAATATGCACAATCTAATAGATAAGCCTCATATTAAAAATTTACTGTTCTTTATATCTTTTATTGTAGATTATAAAATTATAACAAATTATTTAATTAAAATATATTTTATTATATTTTTATAAGTAATATATTAGATATATATTGAAAGATATATAGGAGAAATTAAATTTTATACTTTCTTTTTATAGATCTTGATACTATTTTGAATCGATCCAGCAAAACTACCGTTTATGAGACTCAGAAACGCTTAGCCACTTTAAAAGATCCTACTGATGAAAATGTACAAAGGCTCCTTTTATTCAGCAGTAATCGGATAAATGCTGAAACAGCAAATATTGTATGGAAAATTATGTTTTATAAATTTTGAACCTTGACAAAATTTTCGTGTTTATATTCTATACTTTTGTGCTCTTGTATTATATGATTTAAAAAAAATATCTAAAGAAATAGACAAAAACATTTAAACATTTATTTAAAATTTTAAGGAGAATTATTTAAATTAGAAGTATGGACTTGTTGCAAACTATGTTCTCAAGTATTCTTGACTAATCCATGAAATATTTTGTAGTTGTTGCAACGTGCTGTAGGAAAGAAATACATTCAACAAGAAAAACTCAAGAAATCAGAAGAAACAGCTTTTACAGAAGAAGATTTCAAGAACTTTGAACAAGAATATATAGAATAATATTGATAATGACACTGAATTGTAAGGAATAGCACAATGTGTAAACAACAAAATCAAAATAGAAATGTTCAACAATGTTTGATAGTGATCGTCAAAGAGGAAAAGTAATATTAATATTAACATTTATCTTGTTTCTTTATTATACCGTGTGGGTAATCGGTCTACCGTTCATCGACGATGGTAGATTAAGATCGCTTTTTTACTCGCACGATCTGGCTTTGATAATTCCCGCGAGTCTTGGGCTAATTTTTATCGGTGGTTTGATACTCTTTACCATATACCATGTGAAATCACACTTGTTTCATAAAATAGAAAATATGGAGTAGCAACTTGTCAGAACATGCAGCGATATCAACTATATCTTTGTAACTTATCATTATAACATTGCGTAATCATTATATCGCGTTTTATAATACTCATATATACAACTTGTGACATACATGTATGAATGTGTTATAAAGAATGTAAGAATGTATAAAATTGTATGATAGGGAGATAAAGAGGAAGGGGTTACATCATTCAATTTACTCTGAGCTATTGAAACGTTATAAACTTATTAATAAACTCTCTTATTTACACTATATCAAGCGCTACTACTGCTACGGCACTACTGCAAGCAAATTAAACATGGTGAAGCAGTGGTTTGTCGTTGGTATATCTGGTGCAACCTGTAGTGGAAAAAGTACATTGGCTAATAAAATCCATGATAATTTTCCAACATCCGTTCTGGTGTGTCAAGACAATTATTTTTTGCCACCAGACGATCCACGTCATGTTAAGATACAGGAATTGAATCACCTAAATTGGGAGCTATCAACAAGCTTGGATATGCAAAAAATGTATTCAGATGTTATAAGGATACTTCAGTCTCCCGAAAAAAATCCAACCGATTCAAAGACGTTATTGATATTGGATGGTTTCTTGCTCTTCGAACATAAGGCCATCACAGATTTATGTGATTGTAAATACTTTTTAACGTTGACAAAGGAGCAATGCTGGGAACGAAGAAAAAATCGTATATATGAGCCGCCTGATGTGCCGGGATATTTTGACAAAATAGTATGGCCCGAATTTGTAAAGTACAAAAATGAAATTATACAAGACAATGAGCTATATGAAACTATAACATTTATCGATGGATCGAAGGATGTGGAAGAAATTTGTGAAATGGTTTTCAAGAAAATTGATCAATTATTATCTTAAAAATGTAACTCAGTTTAACTCTTCTTGTGTAAATTTAAATTATACAAGTATCATCAGCCTGAAACAAAAAAAGAGAAGTTTTCTTTTACACATTCCGAAAGATACAAAAAATTAAATGAACATTGTGAAGATATTTAATATTGCAAATAAAAAATTTTCAATTATTTATAAGCTCTTTGATATTTTTCCATATAGGTTTTTCCTTGATATATATATATATATATATATA